AGGGCAGTGTCACTGGCCCTCATATGTGGGATCCGAACCGGGGCCCTCTGGCATCCCAAGCGAGTTCTTAACCATCGCGCCACTCGGCCGGCCCCACAACTACGCAGCTTTGCTGTTGTAGTGTGAAAGCCGCCATAGACAATAGTAAACAAATGGGTGTGGCTGTGTTCCAGTAAAACTTGATGGATACTGAATTCATTTGTCATGAAATACAGTTTTGAATTTTTTTCAAACAGTTACAAATATAAAAACCATTCTTAGCTCATGGGCCCTGTTGGTGCACAGTACTGTGCCAACCCCTGGCATAAAGAAATACAGGATCTAGTAAAAAGAGGATCTAGGTCCAAGACTTGCTGAATGGCAACATTTAAGGCCAGGCAGAGAAAAGAAGCTGGTAAAGGAGCCAGAGGGAGCAATTAGAGTGACAGAAGGAAAGCCAGCGGGGGTGGGGGGGGTGAGGGTGATGTCATGGTCTCATACTATTGTGATGTCTTGTTATTGGGACTAAAAGGTGATTATTGAGTTATTGAGTGGCATTGCAAGGGCAGTTTCTGTGCAATGGAGTGGAAAAAAACTTGATTAGTTTTCTCAACTTGAAATAGAAGGGGAAGTTAAAAAATACAGTATATGTAGATAGTTCTTTTAAGAAGTATGATTTTAAAGAGGCTGAGAGAATTGGCTGGTGGCTGGGGAGGAACACAGAGCAGAGGGCCACTTTTAAAAGGAATAAACTGCCTGATGACGGATAGGCCCTCTTACACTTGGCTCCAGATCCTATCCCATCCCTTGGAAGGGATTCTCTCAACATCTCATCTTTCTTCTGTTTCTTCAACCTTCCACTGGCTTCCCAGCACATTTAGAATAAAATCTAAATTTCTTACCATGTCCTGGAGACCCAGGGATATTGGACCTCTGCATATTCTTTGACTTATCAGTTTGACTGCTTACCTCCTATCTGTCCCCCTCACTCAACTGCAGGCACTCTGCTGTTTCTGCCTCAGGCCTTCATACCCTGAAACAAGATGCTTATCTCCTAGGTCTTAACATGGCTTCCTCCCTCACTTCAAGTCTGCTCAAAATCTCACCCCCACCCCCCAATTCTCACACACTGGGAGGCCTTTTCTGAGCTTACTTTCTAAAGTAGCAACACTCATCTCTACTCATTTGATACTAGTATTGTTTTTATATGCTCATTATCTGTCTTCCCCACTAAAATATAATAAGCATGAGAGTAGAAACTTTGTGTTGTTCACTATTATTTTCTAACACCCAGAATAATGCCTGGCATTTAGTAAGCACTCAATAAATATTTGATCGGCCTGCTCAAATATTTGAGCAAATTATTGTTCTCACTACTACATTGTCTTCAATGGGTTGTCGACAAAAAATATCCAGCCTAAGAGAAAATTTATAAGAGTTTATTTGAGACAAACTGACGACAATTGCCGGGAAGCAAAATCTCAACAGATTGAGAAAATGGCCGTTTTGCAATTTATACATTAGAATCAAAGGAGGAAGTTTACATGAAATCCATTGGTTGTAGATTAAGGGGGTGGGAGAAAGCAAAGTGAGGAAATCTCTGGGATTGGATAAAAAGTAAAATGGACAGACACACACTTCTTTTACATTGGTGGGTACAGCATAATTAATAGCATTTTACAGCACATAGAGATAGTATTTGGGGAGCAAGATAACAATGAGGGACTTTGTAGTTTCCTGCTCTAGTGTGGTGACTTGTGGCCCCTGGGGGGTTCGGAAAAAGAGATTACTCTGATATTGTAAGGGTATGTTATCTTAGATGCAAAAAGATGACAGACAGGCTTAAAGTAAAGATTGACCTTTGTCAAGGAAGCTACAGGCCAAGGATGTGACTTCCCGCCATGGCCCACCTTTGTCAGGAACTTTTTATGTTCAGCCATCCTCTGTGGTTATTTGCAGTCTCCTAAGCTTGTCAGGTTTAACATGTGGCCCTTTTTCCATCCTCAGGGTTTTCCTAGTAGACAGAGATCCTAGAGTACAATGCAAGTATCTCATTCATCTCTCCACCTCCAGACCCTTGGCACAGAAAGGGAAGAGGCAATCGCTTTGGGCACTAAAAGGAAAAGGTGGATTCAAGGGGCACTTGTTAGGGGATGGAATTTTGTGATAGACTGGATTATGAGGTTGAGAGAAGAGTGACACGAGGTTTCTTCCCTGGGAAACCACTTGAATGGTGGGATGATATCAATTAATACAGACCACAAGAGAGGCAGTATTCTAGAAAGTTAAATTTAGGATGAGTTTGAATTGCTTGTAGGGCATATAGGTGGCTATTCCTTATATTACAAGTAGTTGGAAAAATTAGTCTGAAGCTTGGAAGAGAATGAGACTGGTATTTCCCACCCCCGCCCACCATGGTCTCATCCCTCTACCCACCTAACCCAGTGGTTCACCCCATCAGCCAGTCTGCAACACATGAGCATTATCTCTGTGTGTGTACTTGAGTAGTAGACTAATTATAAATACTTCTGAATCTCTATTGGGCAATATTCAAGAGCGATCCCTGGAGCTCTTGAAATCAGAGTAAGGCAGCTCTTCATGTTTCACACCATGCCCTCCAAGTTTCTACTCTTGCTTCAGCAGAAGTCATAGGGGCTCTGTAATCCCATGTCATCCTGGAGAGCCTCTCTCCTGTTCCCCTCCAATACTCTAGCCTGGCCACCACTTCACTTGCTTTGAGACCATTAACATTAATCATATTATGCCTTTGTCCCTATTTTCATTAGTCACCTTAAAAAAATCATCTCCTAGATGTATCACCTACATTCTAATCCTGACACAGGTTATTATTATTATTTTTAAGATTTTTATTGGGGAATTGGGGGATGGGAACAACGCTGGGGAATTGGGGGAAGGGGAACAGACAAGTTGCTGTCCTTTTGTTCTGCAGTCTAGTTGTGGAGGACGTTGCTTCTCTGGCCCAAGTTGGCACCATCATTGCGCTCTTCCCGGGCGAGGCAGATCAGTCGCCCGCTTCTGGACGGCTGCTCACGCTGGCTGCTGGCTACACACGGTAGCCCATGACAACCCACTGCAGCAGGGGACTGCAGCCTACTCCAGCAACCCAGGGCAGCCCAGCTTCCGGTTGAGTTGTTGTTCAGCATCTTAGCTGTAAAGGGCAGTGTCACTGGCCCTCATATATGGGATCCGAAC